GTGTGGCTGTGGGAGGTGTGAGGTGTGAGTGTGGCTGTGGGAGGTGTGAGTGTGGCTGTGGGAGGTGTGAGTGTGGCTGTGGGAGGTGGCGGCCATAAGTGTGGCTGTGGGAGGTGGAGGTGTGAGTGTGGCCGTGGGAGGTGTGAGGTGTGAGTGTGGCTGTGGGAGGTGGAGGTGTGAGTGTGGCTGTGGGAGGTATGGGTGTGGCTGTGGGAGGTGTGAGGTGTGAGTGTGGCCGTGGGAGGTGTGAGTGTGGTTGTGGGGGGTGGAGGTGTGAGTGTGGCTGTGGGAGGTGTGAGGTGTGAGTGTGGCCGTGGGAGGTGTGAGTGTGGTTGTAGGGGGTGGAGGTGTGAGTGTGGCTGTCGGAGGTGTGAGGTGTGAGTGTGGGAGGCATGAGTGCCGCTGTGGGAGGTGTGAGTGTGGCTGTGGGAGGTGTGAGGTGTGAGTGTGGGAGGCATGAGTGCCGCTGTGGGAGGTGTGAGTGTGGCTGTGGGAGGTGGAGGTGTGAGTGTGGTTGTGGGGGGTGGAGGTGTGAGTGTGGCTGTGGGAGTTGGGGGCTGTGAGTGTGGCTGTGGCGGGTGGGGGTACTATACGGGGAGCCCCTGAGTACAGCTCACCTAGCCTCCTGACTGTGCTTCCCGCTGGGGCAGGGGGTGCTTGGACCAGAAGGCTGCTCCCACTGCAAACTATAAGACTTAAAAAGGATATTTTATTGTCATTAAAAAGAAACATTCAAGACAATCAATGGGCTTTAGAAAATTTAAAAGAACAAAAGCTACCAAAGCTGAGACCATGGCACCTCCTTCCAGTGAGGCGGGGAGTCCCCCCGACGGCCGAGGCAGGTGCCGGCCACACTCCCGCGCGTGTCTCTTCCTGTCTGCGGATTCTGCCTGACATTTGCCCAAAGGCGTGATGGGGGCAGCAGGGCATGGTGGCCTCTGTGCAGCCCTCGTGGCCAGCAGCCCTAGCCTCCCAAGGCCACGGCACCCTCTCTGTGGTCTTGCCCGTCCGCCTCGTGCCTCCAGAGTGGCTGCTGGGTCCTGCTGCAGGTGCCCTGGGGCTGGACTCAGCCTCAGGGATGATTCCGGCTGTGCCTCTGCTCCTGGCTCCCCTGGCGTCCCTACACGTCTCTCCCCAGTGCTCCTGGGCCTCCTCTGTCCTCAGGCCCCACCAAGGCTGATTCTTGCCCAACTGGGACCTGGTCACCAGGCCCTCTAGGTAGGCCTGTCTGGCCGATGCCCACCTCTTCTCTGGGCTGCCCTGGCCTCGCACGGTGTGGGGGCTGCTGCAGTGGCCGCGTGGCCCAGGCTCTTCTCCGAGTGGTCTTGGTGGGGTGGGGTGGGGTGGGAGGTGGCAGTGTCCTGGGCCCGGCCCCTTCTCTTCCCAGTGCAGACTCTGGGGCTGTCTGTCCCTTCGGGTTGAGTTCCAGTCCTGAGAATGCAGTAGCGTGAGCAGGCAGCCAAGAGGTGGTGCTGGCACCTGAGACCCTGCTCCATGGGAGGCGTCTTCCCGGGAGCCAGAGAACAGGGTTCTTTAACCTCATTCCTCATGTCAGGAGTTCACGGGACTGCCCAGAATGGAGCCTGGCTGGCCACCGGCCGGGAGGAAGGCCGTCTGAGCATTCTCCACTCTCCGAAGCCTCCCCAGCAGGGCCCGAGGGTGCTGTGACTTCCTGGCTTGGTGGTGGAAGCTCCCACTGGCCACGCCTGTGTTCAGGAGGCTGGTGTGGACGGGATTGGCTCCAGGCTGGTTCCTGTCTGGGTGGGCGCCTGGGATGCTGGCTGCTGCCCCCTTTTGTGTGAGCAGCTGGGGGGCTGGAGGGTAGAGGTGTCCTGCTGACGGGACACCTGGCCCCAGCGCCCTGCACGCACCAAGCAGCAGAAATCTGGGACAGACCTGCTATGCACAGGCTCAAAGGGGGGCACATCAGGTATGGCAGGTCAGAGGGTGACTGCGAGGCCGGAGAGCCATGGGGTCGAGGGCGGCGAGGTCAGGGGAGGCATGGCCTGGGTGGCGGCTGAGCATGGCCCATGGCTCCTGTGTGGGGTCTGGGCAGCCCTGGACTTCCAGCAGAGGGTGGCCCTAGGCCCCCTGCCCGATCATGTTCCTGTAGTCGGGGACGATGGTCTGCTTCAGGTCCACCACCGAGGAGAAGATCCACTTCACCTGCAGGGTGGCACAGACAGTATGAGTGAGGCCACAGCCCTGCCCCCAGGCCACCCAGGCCACAACCCTGCCCCGAGGCCCACCCACCCCTCAAGCCACCCAGGCCTGGACATGGAGAGGAGGGCTAGGGCAGCAAAAGCATGTGGACAACAAAGAAGACGGCATGAGGGACAGCATGAAGATGGTGTGTGGGCAGCACTGGGGACAGTATCAGGGACAGGTGGGGACAGTGTGGGGGACAGTGTCAGAGACAGGTGGGAACAGCATGGGGGACAATGTTGGGGGCAGGTGGGGACAGCACGGGGGACAGTGTCAGGGACAGGTGGGGACAGTGTCGGGGACAGGTGGGGACAGTGGGGGACAGTGTCAGGGACAGGTGGGGACAGTGTGGGGGACATTGTCGGGGACAGGTGGGGACAACACGAGGGACAGTGTCGGGGACAGGTGGGGATAGCACGGGGGACACTGTCAGGGACAGGTGGGGACAGTGTCAGGGACAGGTGGGGACAGTGTGGGTGACAGGTGGGGACAGCGTGGGGGACAGCACAGGGGACAGTGTCGGGGACAGAGGGGGACAGCATGGGGGACAGTGTCGGGAACAGGTGGGGACAGCATGGGGGACAGTGCTGGGGACAGGTGGGGACAGCGTGAGGGACAGTGTCGGGGACAGGTGGGGACAGTGTGGGTGACAGTGTCAGGGAAAGGGGACAGCATTGGGGACAGTGTCAGGGACAGGTGGGGACAGTATTGGGGACAGTGTTGGGGACAGGTGGGGATAGGGTGGGGGACAGTGTCGGGGACAGGTGGGGACAGCGTGGGGGACGGTGTCAGGGACAGGTGGGGACAGCATGGGGGACAGTGTCAGGGACAGCCGGGGTCAGTGTGGGGACAGTGTCGGGACAGCTGGGGACAGTATGGGGGACAGTGTGGGTGACAGTGTCAGGGAAAGGGGACAGCATTGGGGACAGTGTCAGGGACAGGTGGGGACAGTATTGAGGACAGTGTCGGGGACAGGTGGGGATAGGGTGGGAGACAGTGTCGGGGACAGGTAGGGACAGTGTGGGGGACAGTGTCGGGGACAGGTGGGGACAGCATGGGGGATAGTGTCGGGGACAGCTGGGGACAGTGTGGGGGACAGTGTTGGGGACAGCGCGGGGGACAGTGTCGGGGGCAGCACTGTAGACAGGTGGGGACAGCATGTGGGACAGCGTCAGAGGCAGCTGGGGACAGCGTGGGGTCAGCGTTGGGGACAGCTGGGGACAGCGTGGGGACAGTGTTGGGGACACCTAGGGACAGTGTAGGGACAGTGTTGGGGACAGGTGGGGACAGGGTGGGGACAGTGTCAGGGACAGCTGGGGACAGCGTGTGGCCAACCTTGAAGAAGGTGACGGTGGCACTGTAGCACACGCTCAGCAGGAAGAGTGTGATGAAGATGGTGATGGTCGTCCAGAGCCCGTCCAGCTCCCCGTCCTGCGTCTCCACACAGCTCTCCTCTAGTATCAGCTCTGTACAGGAAGAGGGTGGTCAGTGCTGTGTCCCTCTGGGCTCAGGCCTTGGGGGCGATTTCCTCTGTGGTGGGGCCCAGGGTGTATGGTGTGGCCGGGATGGGCCATTGGTGCCCTGAGGTCTGCTACCCACAGCTGCCTGCCCCGTGCACGAGCTTTGACCACGTGGCTTGGCCAGACACCCGGCCCTAGAGAGCGGCCTGGCCCTCAGCTGGACCCACTCTCCATCCCCTGTGCCCCTCCCTGAGGCCCAGAGGGCAGGAGGATGGCAAAGCTCGCCCCCTATATGACCCCAGCTGCAGGGAAGGGTGGTATTGGGAAGTGGGCTGGTGCCAGGGAAGCGAGAAGGTGTGGGTGCCCCTGTGGGTGGGGGCCCGTGTGTGTGGGGTGGCTGCAGGGCCCCTTGTGAGGGCAGGGCCGGGTTTGCCTGAGCTGATCAGCAGGTGGACAAGCTGCTGAGAGGCTCGTGGGCCTTGAGGTGCTGCATGGGGCTCGTGGGGGCCCATGTCCAAGGAGTGTTGCTGTGTGGGGACCTTGCTATGGTCTGGGTGCTGTGCAGGCTGCCTGGTGAGGCTCTGTGTGGGGTGTACGTGTGTGTGTGTGGTGGCTGAGTGGCCGGCCAGCCTCTGTGCAAGGTTTGTGGAATGGGTCTGGGCTGAGTATGTGAGTGTGGGCTGTGTGTGTGTGGATGAGTGTGAGTGTGAGTCTGGGCTGTGTGTGTGTGGGTATGTGAGTCTGGGTTGAGTGTGTGTGAGTCTGGGCTGAGTGTGTGTGGGTGTGAGTGGGAGTCTGGTTGTGTGTGGGTGTGAGTGTGAGTCTGTGCTCAGTGTGTGTGTGTGAGTCTACTGAGTGTGTATGTGTGTGTGAGAGTCTGGGCTGAGTGTGAGTGTATATGGGTATGTGAGTCTGTGCTGGGTGTGTGTGGGTGAGTGTGTCTGGACTGAGTGTGAGTGTGTGTGGGTAGTGAGTCTGGGCTGGGTATGTGGGTGAGTGTGTGAGTCTGGCCTGTGTGAGTGTGTGTGGGTGAGTGTGAGTGTGAGTCTGGGCTGAGTGTGAGTGTATGTATGTGTATGTGATTCTGGGCTGAGTGTGTGGGTGTGTGAGTCTGGGCTGTGTGAGTGTCTATGGGTGAGTGTGAGTGTGAGTCTGGGCTGGGTGTGAGTGTATGTGTGTGTATGTGAGTCTGGGCTGAGTGTGTGGGTGAGTGTGTGAGTCTGGGCTGTGTGAATGTGTGTGGGTGAGTGTGACTGTGAGTCTGGGCTGAGTGTGTGTGTGTGGGTATGTGAGTCTGGGCTGGGTGTGTGAGTGTGAGTCTGGGCTGAGTGTGAGAGTGTGTGTGTGAGTCTGGGCTATGTGTGTGTGTGTGTGGGTGTGAGTGTGAGTCTGGGCCAAGTAGGAGAGTGTGTGTGTGTGTGAGTCTGGGCTGTGTGTCTGTATGGGTGAGTGTGAGTGTGAGTGTGAGTCTGGGCTGGGGGTGTGTGTGTTGGCATCTGGAACAGTCCCTCCCTGGGAGTCAGTTGTGTCCCCATGTGGGTGCAAGGCTGGGTAGGGCTGCCTGGGCTTCGTGCAGTGGGGTAGGTGGGGGAGGGAGGGCCTGTCCCTGCGCACATGGACCAGGCATGCCCCCGAGTGGGCACAGGGGGCATGAGGGCAGGGAGCTCATAGAACAGGCCTGTCTCCTTAGAGGCGAAGGCTCCTAGGGCCTCTCTTTGTCCAGCGCAGGGCAGCCGCTGCCAGAGGGAGGGGCATGCTGGCCAAGCCCCCCACCCTGCTGTGGGCAGCCCCGGCTGAGCCCCACCCTAGGTGGCCCAGGCACACCTGCACAGCCTGGGCCAGTGCAGGGACAGTGGGACCCACTCTGCCTCCCTCGTGCCACTCAGGCCTCAGACTCGGCCTGACCCACGGAAAGAACCATCACAGTCTCGAAGGGGCCCAGGGCAGCGCTGGGTGCTTTATTTCCATGCTGGACGCCTGGGGGGTATGTACATGGGGTGTGTGACAGGCACCCTCGCGGGACCCCGAGAGGCTGGGGAGCGGGGCCTGCCGGGTGTCGCACTCATTTACCCGGAGACGCGGAGAGGCTCTTCTGCGTGTAGTGGTTGTGCAGAGCCTCATGCATCACGGAGCATGAGAAGACGGTCCCCTGCTGCCACCTGTGCTTGTCCACGGTGAGCTTGCTGTAGAGGAAGAAGGAGCCATCCGAGTCCAGCACAGGCTGTGTGTTCTTGTAGTTGTTCTCCGGCTGCCCGTTGCTCTCCCACTCCACGGCGATGTCGCTGGGGTAGAAGCCCTGGATCAGGCAGGTCAGGCTGACCTGGCTCCTGCTCATCTCCTCCCGCGATGGGGGCAGGGTGTACACCTGCGGCTCTCGGGGCGTCCCTGTGGGGACAGAGGTGGGCACAGCGGTCAGTCCCAGGGCAGAGGGTGGGCTGGGCCGGCCTCTGTCCACACGGCCCTCACGTGGCTCCCACCTTTGGCTTTGTGGATGGTTTTCTGGACGGGGGCCGGGAGGGCTTTGTTGGTGACCTTGCATTTGTACTCCTTGCCCTTCAGCCAGTCCTGGTGCAGGACGGGGAGCGCGCTGACCACGCGGTACGTGCTGTTGAACTGCTCCTCCTTCGGACTTGTCTTGGCAGTGCGCACCTCCACGCCGTCCACGTACCAGTTGAACTGGACCTCGGGGTCGTCCTGGCTCACGTCCACTACCACGCACGTGACCTCAGGGCTCCCGGTGATCCTGAGGATGTCCTTGGGTTTCGGGGGGAAGAGGAAGACTGACGGTCCCGCCAGGAAATCAGGTGCTGAGGAAGAGATGGAGGCAGACGCGTCAGCACCCAGCTGGGGCCTGTCCCTGGATGGAGGCCCCTCTAGGCACTAGTAACACCTTGAGCTGGAGGGTGAGGCCTGGGCTGGCTTACCTGGGCATGGGGGACAGGGTGTGTTGCAGGCGCCTGCAGAGAGAAGACTGGGAGTTACTGGGGTCTGGGAGGAGAGGGTGTCCACGCTGAGGGAGGGGAGAGTTTGTCCTTTGGGGTGGGCTCAGGTCAGGGCCAGGCTCCTCCCAGATACAGCTCTTGGCAGGCCTGAGACCAGCATCTGCGCCTGTGTGCGCAGGGCCTGGGGTGGGGACATCCAGCCTGTGCCTGCCTGGAGCCTGCTGGAAGCAGCCAGAAGACCCTCTCCCTGAGCATGAGTGGGGCAGGCAAGGCCCATGGGGAGGAGACAGACTGGGCCTCTGCGGCTGCTCCACTGTGGCGTGTCCAGGCAGGAGGACTGAGCCTGCCTTCCCGCAGACACCCTCCCTCCCTGCGCAGGCTGCTCACGTTTCACTGTCACGTCCTTCTTGAAGTTGGTGGGTGTGTGGACGACGTTGCAGGTGTAGGTCTGGCTGCCCGCACTGCTGGTGGTCACCATGCTGCTGAGGGAGTAAAGCCCTGAGGACTGCAGGACAGCCGGGAAGGTGTGCACGCCGCTGGTCAGGGAGCCCGAGTTCCAGGACACGGTCACCGGCTGGGGGAAGTAGTCCTTGACCAGGCAGCCCAGGGCCGTTGTGGTCCCAGAGTTGCAGCAGGGCGTCAGGGGGAAGACGTCTGGTTTCTTGTTGGAGGCTGCAAGAGAGGTGGCACCATGTGACCACAGTGTGGGACACAGCTGGGTCCAGGCCCCAGAGGCCCCTCTGCTCCTGTCCCTCCACAAGGGTCCAGGAAGGGTCCAGTGTCTGGGTGTGCACCTGGCTGGTGCCACCTGCTTTACCTTAGCCTCCTCCCTGCCCTGAGGCCAAGGTCAGGCCCAGCCTGCCCCAGAAACCTTGCAGACCAGCGGCCCTGTGGTGCCCCGCTGCAGGCAACCCTGGAACCTGGGAGGTGGGCTCGGCTGCTGGGACAGTGCTCCGTGCCTGCTGGGAGTCAGCACAGCCCAAGGCCTCTAGCTTGGCCTCGGCTCTGGCCACCGGTGCCCACTCAGGCAGGGCTCGTGCCCATCGGCCCCATTCCAGCCTTTTGTGGGTGCCTGGCTTGACCAGTGGCCGCTGTTCCCCAATGGCTTCTGGTGGGCTCCCCAACCCCCCAGCTCTGACCCTGCTGCCCCAGCGTGGCCCCCTGTAGTGAGTGGGCCTGACTTGCCCAGGGTCCTCGTCAGAGCCTGCCCTCTGCCCTCTGCCCTCCAGGGCCCTTGTCTTCTGTGCAGCGGAGGGGCCAGGCACTGCACAGGCTGGCATCCCTCAGCCCCAGGTCCTGGAACCGCCTGCTTTGGAAGAGCCCCTGGGAGCCTCCTGCTCAGCCTCTCCCCTCCTTTGCCCTTAGCCCCAGTGTGCACCAGCCCACGCCAGGGCCCTGAGCACCTGGACCTCCCACGCCTCCTCGGCTTCCCTGCATTACTTCCCGAAGTTCAGTCACTGCATGCCACCACCCAGCTCTGCCCTCCGTCCAGAGCTTCCCCTGGCAAGGCCCCTGCTGAGCTCAGTCCAGGCTCCCCCAGCACAGGTAGGAGTCTCACACCTGCACTTGCCCTCCCTGCCCTACATGGTGCCAGCAACCTCAGGCCCCAGGGAGGCCCCGTTTCTCTCTGCTGCTGGCCCAGTGGCCCTGCAGTCCCACTGCAGGTCGGGTGTGCCCCTGACCTCTGAGGAAGCCAAGTGACCTGCCCCCAGTCAGGCCATCCTCTCCACTCAGCCCCAGGGCCCTGCCCCCACCTCTTCCCCTCACCCACACCCCAGGCTCTGGCAGGCTCTGCCCAGGCCCTGAGTGGGCCCCTCAAGCTCCCCTCTGCTGGTGCACTGCCCTGTGCCACCTCCACTCAGCTTCAGTGTGTTCATCCACCTGCCCACGTTCCCCCGGCCCCAGGAGCAGAGCTGGTGGCCCTGGCTCCTGGCAGCCCATCTTGTTCCTTCTGGAGTGCCAGCCTCAGTGGCCTTCCTGGCCAGGGTCCACTCGGGCCAGCCCTGGGACCCTCCTGGTCTCCAGCACATGCTCCCCCTGCAGCCAGACCTGCCCCTGCCTGTGAGCTGAGCCCTGAGCCCTGGAACGCCGTCCCTTCTCCCTCCCAGCTCGCCCTTGCCAGCTGCTCAATGAGCTGGGCTCACACGCCCTCCCTGCACTGGGAGGCTGCTCTGCTTTCACCAGCTCTCAGCTGTCGGCTGTCAGCAAGTGCCCAGCTCCTGCCAAAGCCTAGGAGCTCAGTGCTGGCTCCTACCAGCACTGCTCACCTGTGGCTGCTCTACCCTTGTCCTCTGAGCTCCAGTGCCTGTCCCCTACTGCTCTCCCCTGGTCCCCTGAGCTCTGGGAGCTGCCTCCTTTTCATCCTGCCTCCCGCTGACCCCTGCTTATCCTTCAGGGCACCTCCAGGAGCTTCCCCCAGCAAGTCCTCACCTCCACTGGCCCCTGCTCACCTGCAGCTGCTCGGGCCTGGTCCCCTGAGCTCCACTGCCTGCCACCTCATCCTGCCTTCCACCTGCCAAGCTCACCTGTGGCTGCTCTGACCTGGTCCCCTGAGCTCCATGAGCTGCCCCTTGCTTCTCCGCCTCCCACTAGCCCTGCGCACTTGCCACTGCTCTCCCTGGTCCTCTGAGCTCTGGGAGCTGCCCCCTGCTCGCTCACCTTCCATCTGCCCTGCTCACTTTTGGATGCTCTCCCCTGGTCCCCTGAGCTTCAGTAGCTGCCCCCAGCTCCTCCTGTCTCCTACCTGCTCTGCTCACCTGTGGCTGCTCTGCCCTGAGCTCCAGTGCCTGTCCCCTACTCCTGCCTCCCACCAGCCTGTTTACCTGTGGCTGCTCTGCCCTGTTCCCCTGAGCTCCAGGAGATGCTCCCTGCTCCTCCTGCCTCCCACCTACCGCTGTTCACCTGCGGCTGCTGTGGCCTGAACTCCAGTGCCTGCCTCAGCCCATCCTGCCTCCCACCAGCCCCTGCCCAACTTCAGATGCTCTCCCCTGCTCCCCTGAGCTCCAGGAGCTGCCCCCTGCTTGTCTTGCCTCCCACTGGCTCGTGCTCACCTGCGGCTGCTCTGCCCCGGGCCCCTGAGCTCCAGGAGCTGCCCCCTGCTCATCCTGCCTCCCGCTGGCCCTGCTCACCCTCAGATGCTCTCCCCTGCTCCCCTGAGCTCTAGGAGCTGCACCTTGCTTGTCCTGCCTCCTACTGGCTCGTGCACACCTGCAGCTGCTCTGCCCCGGGCCCCTGAGCTCCAGGAGCTGCCCCCAGCTGGTCCTGCCTCCCACTGGCCCTGCTCACACTCAGATGCTCTCCCCTGCTCCCCTGAGCTCCAGGAGCTGCCCCCAGCTTGTCCTGCTTCCCACGGATCCCTGCTCACCTTCAGATGTTCTCCCCTGCTCCCGTGAGCTCCAGGAGCTGCCCCCAGCTGGTCCTGCCTCCCACTGGTCCCTGCTCACCTTCAGATGTTCTCCCCTGCTCCCGTGAGCTCCAGGAGCTGCCCCCAGCTGGTCCTGCCTCCCACGGGTCCCTGCTCACCTTCAGATGCTCTCCCCTGCTCCCGTGAGCTCCAGGAGCTGCCCCCTGCTCATCTTGCCTCCTGCCTGCCCCTGCTCACCTTCAGATGCTCTCCCCTGCTCCCCTGAGCTCCAGGAGCTG